ACTTCCTATTGATGCTGAGCGCTGCCTTAAAAAAGAAAAAGAAAGAAGAAAGAAGAGTTGATGCTAAAAATACAAAGTAGAAAAGAGGCTGGTAGGAATAACCACTGCATGTGAATCCTTCTGCACCTGCTTGGTTTGAGTCTCCTATTTTTCCCGGGCCGGAAAAACCTACCACGTGTGATGGTTCATAATAAATTGCATCGATGCCGAATGCACAGCTCAACCCCTTGGTCTGGTGGTAAATCCTGGTCTGGTGGTAAATCCCAGCCTGGAGAGGGGAGCCTGCTTGAGGGGTCCCCTCCGCTACTCGTAGGGTTTCGGTGGAGCACCATGCCCTGGGGAAAGTCACCACTCAGCCCAGACCCCCCCGGGGGGCTGCCATGGACTTTCCACCACATAAAAATAGAGTTACCGCAGACAACTTGCACTATCAGCTGCAGCGTTGCTGAAAGTGCTGGCAGCGCGTTAGGCCCGCACGTTGGTGCCCCAGTTAATCCAGCAGCTAATGGTATGACTGTGAAAAACCCCCACCGCTTAGGTAACCCTGTTGTATGTAATTTATTCTGAAGTGAACTCAAGCCTGGTTTGTTCCCAGCTAAAAAGCAAGCAAAGGGTATGAGCCAGCTGAATGGCAGCTTCCATGTCGCTGGATAAGGGCTTTTCTAGCCGGGCTCCTCGCAGAGCCATGTGTTGTCCAAACCCTTCACCACGCTCCCTGGGATGCTTGCACTGCACAGCGATGACCTGGCTGCCTCGGATCAGCTGTCAGGGCCGAGAAAATCCGCTGTGCCCTTTCAGAAAGGAGCCGACACATTTCTACCAGGATCTACTCTCTAAGTCGATAATTTTTTTCTCTTACACTGTGAATGTCTAAGATCCTGCTTTTCAAAAAAAAAAAAAAAGGAAGGGATGAGATTCTCAAGATAATTTACTTTCGTGGAAAAAGATTATTTCTCAGTTGGTGAAACTTGCGCTGACCACAAGCAGGCAGCTCCTAACCCTCGCGAGGGCCCGACGTGGGCTTGAGGCAGGGAAAATCGCTGCCGGTGCCGATGCCACAACGCAGCTGGCTGAAAATCAGGGGACACAAAGTGTTGCTTTTTCCTCTCCAGATGAAACAGCAAACACCCCAGAGCCCGCCGAGCACCGGGCAGGCGCCGGGCCAGATGCATGCCTGGACGACAAGCTGCCGGCAGCACATGGCTTCGGCTGGGCTGGTTGGTCCTGGGTTTCCTTTTCTCCTCGGGCAAAACGGGAGACGAAAGCAGTGGGGATTTTTTTTTTTTTTTGAGTGATGAAGGCTGGGAGGCCAAAGCGCTGGACTTTCTGTACATGTCTCACTCCCGTCAATCAGGAAGCGGTGACGCAGGTTATGGGTTGGGTTTGAGGTTTTGGAAACCTTTTCTAAAAGTCGATCTCCTCGCCCTGCCGTATTTCTGAAGTGTGAAGCCGTGGTGAAGGCTGGTGGCGAGCGGGGGGATGCCGGCCAAAATGCAGCTCCTTATCAGATGTAACGGGAGGATTTTCCTGGCTATTTGTTTAATCCTCTTTGTGGGATACACAGCGCAAGGTAAAACGGGGCGGTTGTTCTCTCGGTAATCCTCTTTCTGGGCTATGCAGCGTAGGCCAAGTAGGCAGCCTCCGAATTTTTCAAATTGACCTTCTTCTAGGGCTACTGCGATCTGCTCAGAAAAACTATTTTGCTAACAGCTCGTTTTCTGGAGGGGGAATGGTAAGAAAAGGTGCTTTTTGCTAGCGGAGCATTTCTGTGTCCTTTTCGCAGCCCCTGTGAGAAAAAGCCTTCATAAAATAAGTTGCTGTATGTGTGTGTGTATTTTCAATCCATATATTTAATTTTATTTTATTTTTTTTAACCGGCCCTTTTCTAGTGGTCTGGTTACATACTGTTATTCAGTTATGTAGTTACAGGCACCGTACGTAACAGTGCCCATGTCATAACTACTACGGTCTGCTTTCTTGGGGGGGGCAGGAAAGGAAACTAGTTGTAAGTATGAGGAAATTAAACGGTTTATTTGGTACCGAGAAATTGCAACAGGCAGCAGTAAAACAATAAAAGGAAACGTTGATTCACGGTGACACGCACCCCGCGGATCTGTTTCTGGTGAGAGAGAAGCGCTTTTCAAGCATGTAGAGTATAATTTGTCCCTAAACGGGGGCTGCGATAGTGATAGGCTCTCACTACCTGTTGACCACTCGGAGGCTGATCTTTGAGAGATTGAGGCCTGCTTTTTGTACGTTGATTACCTCCAAATTATTCAGCGGCAGTCGTTTATTTTGTTGCCACTGTTGTTATTAAAAACCTTCTTGATGATACGCTAAGAGGAGAAAGTAAGTATGGAAAAGGAATATGCTGTGAAAGAATCAGGAAATTATACCCATGAGATCTTTTTTCTCTCACAGAAGAGTGTAGGAGGTAGATGAAAGTCATCTAGTACATTATGGAAATAGATAGGGCAATGGAGAAGTGTAATTACAGAAAGATATTCCCAAGAAACCGAGAGAAAATAGATAAAGTGCCAACAGGGGGAGAATGAGCCAGGAGGCTTCAGAACAAATTAATTATGTGAGACCAAGAGGAAGGACGACGTTTGGCTGTTTTTGTCTTTACTATGCGATCATTATTGTCTCCTTTTGGTATTTTTTGAAGATCCGCTTTTCAGTGACAGCCCCGATCAGGCACCTGGCGGGCACCAGAACCGAAACTGTGGGCTTACCTAACCCTGGGCTGTGTCTAGGAGATGCCTGAACTGTCTGCCCTCTGGCAACGTGCTCTGGGAGCCTACGTAATCCCCAAATCTGCTCCCGTGGTAGGCGGCTCTTGGCACGCCTTGAGTTTCTGACCTCCCCACCAGAACTCATCCCATTGAACTCGAACGGGCTGAGCTGAGTCGGCTCTAACCCACGCTGGAGCCGACAGAGAAAGGGAGAGCGCAGGAGCCGGCTTGGTGGCTTGTCCCCAGGAGATTTTTTAGATACCTCCACCAGCTTCGGGGAGAGCTGCAGGTCCCCTGTGGATGTGCCGTGCCCTGAGCTGGAGATGAGCCCTGCTGTGACGTTGGCACGAGGCAGTGGTTTCTCACAGGGTTTCCAATTCTAATTCCCATGGACTTCCTGGTGCCGTATGCGAGATGCACCTGATGTCTCTGATAGCGAGGATGTGGCTTAGGATTATCAGTAGCCATTTAAACAAAGCCTTCAGGGTTAATTTGGTTTTCAGCAGTGGAGCAATCAGGGCCACACAAATTACTTTCCTCCGCTCCTTTAAGCTTTACTAGGTGCTCATAAAGTTAATAGGTCCTGGTGAATAACATCCCGGACCTGGTGAATAACGCATGGCTGATTCGATCAGGTGCTCCGCTGCAGAAGGCAAGGTACAAGAGAGTGAGATGCCGACCTGATGCCTGGTCCGCTAACTGCATCGAAGAGAAGGGGCCCTGGTTCTACATGCCCTCCGGCGGAGCCAACAGGATCCTCCCTCCCATGGCAGACCCATCCCTGTAAGTCCATTTGCCGCCCATTCATCATTAATGCTAGCGCCCCAAAATGTCTGGTATTCCCGCCTCGACAGTCCTGTCACAGCGTGGCTCACCCACAGGAACGCGAGGCTGCGGTGTGTTCACTTAGGAGGTAACAAACAAAATAAAAAATTTGGAAATAAACTAGCCGCTGCTCTGCGTTTCAGGATGAAGAGGTACCAGGAGCTGAGCGACATATTCCCGCTCTCGGATGCGGAGTCCGGCTCCGGGTCCGACACTGTGGTGGAAGCGGAGCCAGCCTCCGGGTCGGGGCTGGGCGACGGCGATGGCTTCTCCGAGGCGAAGCTGCCCGTCTTCCTAGCGGGCCCGCGAGGCAGCGAGCTGAAGCAGAAGCTAACGGAGGAGGATTTGCTCCTGTAGGGCTGGAGACGTCGGCCTCCTCGTGATGGCGACGGCCGCCCCCGCCTCCCGCGCCCCTTCCCCGGTGCCTGACCCCACACGACGGCCACGAAGCTGTTTTAAGCCAACTCCAAGTCAATAAAAACTTTGCCTTAAGATCTTTACTGCTTTTGCAATCTTTGTTCGGCCTCAACTTGCTCTTTGCTTTCTGCGGGTGGGGCAGCGCCCCCCCCCCCCCCCCCCAGCGGGGATCTATCTCTGGGGGGGCAAGGGGC